GACAGAGAGAAGGGGGCAGGCTGGGGACAGAGAGAAGGGAGCAGGCTAGGGACAGTCTATCTCTTTCCAGCATTGAGCTCTGAGGAGTCCAAGAGTTCTAATTTTATTTATTTTCAAGACAGGGTCTTGCTCTGTAGCCCAGGCTGGAGTGCAGTGGCGTGATCGCAGCTCACTGCAGCCTTGAACTCCTGGACTCAAATGATCCTCCCATCCTAGCCTCCTGAGAAGCTAGGACTACAGGCATGCACCACCACACCTAGCTGACTAAAAATAAAAAGCTTTTTGTAGAGATGGGGTCTTGCTCTGTTGCCCAGGCTGGTCTCAAATCCCTAGCCTCAAGTAATCCTCCCACCTCATTTTTCCAAAGTGACAGGCATGAAACACTGTGCCCAGTGAGGCCAAGAGGCATACATTTGAAACGGTGGGGTGCAGTGGTCTCAGCTACTTGGGAGGCTGAGGAGGGAGGATCATTGGAACCTAGGTCAAGGTTGCAGTGAGTTATGATCACGCCACTGCATTCCAGCCTGGGTGACAGAGTGAGACCCTGTGTCTAAGTAAACAAATAAATTTGAACCTAGCCTTCCAGCATGTTAGGAAAGATTATTTGTCAAGGCTGGAAAGGTAGACATATTTTATTTATCAGTTGGTTAGCTTCAGATGTAACATTTTGACCCTGAGGACATGGGATGCCCCTTGAGCTCTTGTCTGGGAAGGAACTGCAGAGGTTAGGGGACCACTTGCCTAAGCTCCTAAAGAAGGTGGTGGGGGTGCTTACCCGGCTGTCTTCATCTGACACCACAAGAGCAGAGCATCCTTGGCTGAGCGCGTCTCCCTGTTGTCCTCAGTCTCAATTTTGATGACTTGAATCTGTGAAGATACAAAAAAATTGGCTACCGGAGCCTGGAGAGCTTGAGGCTTGGAGACGCCCCCGCTCCCCCACCCCACTCACCATCTGCTACTAGAGAGGGTGGCAGGTGACAGGGGAGTGTGAGGATAAGTTCTGGAGTGGGCCAGGATAGCCACAATTAGTGGAGCAGTTGGGACTCAGGTCTCAGTTTCCAAGGAAGCATTCAAACTGAGCATCTGGGCACCTTCCTTGTCTGAGACACCGCCCTCTCCTGCCTAGGCTAGGGCAGGGGCCCTCATGCTGACCTCCCCACTCCTGCATCCACAGTCTGTTCCCCACATGACAGACAGAGGGACCCTGTGAACACTCAAATCAGATCCTTGCTCCTCTTTTCAACACCCTCTGTAGCTCTATTTCATTGGAGGTAAAAGAAGTCCCCATGATCTCCCTTCATGAAGTTGATGACCTCATCTTCAACAGCTCACTCCACTCCACACCTCCTGGCCTCCTCCCTGAATCACCAGCATCCTCTGTCCTTGGGGCTTTAGCGCTGGCTGTTCCCTCTGCCTGGAACAGCCTTTTCCCAAGTCCCCACATGGCTCCAGCCTCCCTCAGGTCTTTACTCAAATGTGACCTTCTCTGTGAGGCCTTCACTGGCCACTTCATTTCAAATCTCATCACACACCCGAATTTCATATCCCCTTCCCTGTTTTCTTATCTTCTCAGCATTTATGACCACCTATACCTTTTATCTTTTCATCAGATTTCCCCACTAAAATGTGAAAGCTCCAGGACCACAGGGATGTTTACCTGCTTTGAGTGCCGCTGTATCTCACTTAGTAGTGTTTGATAAAGTTCAGAATGGCCCAGAATCTAGAGTGGATTCTAGAGCCTAAGGTGGGTATCTGAGACTTGGGTCCTGGACTCAAGAGCTGGGTTTGTCATGTGGGTTCCAAGGGAGAGAACGAAGACCCTTCCAAGAAGGTCCCAGCGCCTACTGCGGGGATCCAGCCGCCAGCAGTGATCTCCCACTCCCATGATCTCATTCCTCAATTTTGTACTGACAGTGTCCATTCCTGTCACCAGTGTCTCCTCACCCCCTGAGCTCCATACCCAGGACCCAGTGAACTCCAAGATGTCCCCCAACTCCAATGTCCTGGACCCATAACCACTAGACCCATCTCAAACTGGCCTCAGGGTGTTCCTCAAACCTGTGCTTTCTCCCTGTCCCTGTCTCAGGACAGCCCCATCATCCGCGAGTCCCCAGGTCAGAGCCCTCAGTCTTCCCTGGACACCCTTTCCCTCTCCCCCGCCCAAGGCCTGTCTACTCCACTCCCTGAGTGTCTTCCCTACCTGCCCCCTTTTGCCTCCCCTCAGTCCCAACCTGCTCCAACACCATCCTCCTTCCTGGGCTCTCAGCTCCCCATGTTGGTGAACACCTTCAACCCAGAGGGATCTTTCTTTTTTCTTTTCTTTTTTTGTTTGTTTGTTTGAGACAGAGTTTTGCTTTATCGCCCAGGCTGGAGTGCAGTGGTGTGATCTTGGCTCACACACTCACGCTCTCCTGCCTCAGCCTCCTGAGTAGCTGGGATTATAGGCATGCACCATGAAGCCCAGTTAATTTCTATATTTTTAGTAGAGACAGAGTTTCACCATGTTGGCCAGGCTGGTCTCAAACTCCTAAACTCAGGTGATCCTGTCACCTCAACCTCCCACAGTGCTGGGATTACAGCCATGAGCCACTGCGCCCAGCCAAAAGGATCTTTCTAAACTTGTATGCAACTCCCCTTGATAAAATGTTGCAATCTCTCCCCATCTCAAACAGAAAAACATCCAAATTGCTCATCACAGATCACCTAGCCCCTGCCACCCCATGTGCCTCATATCCTTCGTGTCCATTGCCTCCCATTCTATAGCCACACTGCTCTTCCTCCTGTACTTCCAACATGCCAAGCTCATTTCCACCTCAGGGCCTTTGCATCTGCTGTGCCTTCTGCTTGGAATGCATTCTCCCTTCATCTTTGTATGTCATTCAGCCATCGGCTTCCCAGACAGTACTTTTCTGACCACGTCTAAAATCTCAACACCACCAACCTGACATTTTATATCCCTATTACTGTTTTATCACAATCTGTTCTTTTCTGCCTAGCTTTATTTTATTTTTTTTTTTTTTGAGTCAGGGTCTCACTCTGTTGCCCAGGCTGGAATGCAGTGGCATGATCATCGCTCAGTGCAGTCTCACACTACTGGGCTCAAGCGATCCTCCTGCCTCAGCCTTCCAAGTAGCTGGGACCACAGGCATGCGCCATCATGCCC